ATGCAAACAGATTTGTGTGGGATTTTCTATAAATGCTCCACATCTGTCTAACTTGTTATCCGTGATCCACTTCCGTCCTCCAGCGCTGCCATTAGAGGATGGTATAGCGGCAGTTCTGTCTTGCTTTTCTTCAAGTTCTGTTTTCTTTGAACCTTCTCTGCCTTCCACCGGCGACTGTAGTTTTCAAAATCCTGCTTTAGCCTCCGCAGAGAAGAGAATTGGTTTCTCTCTCTTTTCATGTTTCTTCTCTCCTCTAACAGCATCTTCACAGCTCCGAAGATTTTCGAATTTGACCGCCGGGATCGACCGCATTTGGCTCGTTTCGTGTAATCAAGAAGCTGTTGTAGTTCTCCTCACTATTCATCGTCGTAGTACCGTCCGTATTCTCGACTTATCGTTTCATCTCTTCATCACTGATTTCTGTGAGCTTGCTACGCTGACTTGCTGCATACAGTATTCTGTTTTACGAGCCTGTATGATATGTATTCTGGCTCACAGCATGCGATTATCGCTTCCCGTTTTGAAAAAAAAAAAAAAAAAAAAAAACGGAAATGCGCCAAGCATCGAATTAGATATAGTCGATCTCGTCCTTTTTTTGCTTTAGCGCAATCCAAGTCCATCTATTGCCAATGCTGTATTTGCGAACGCACCTCTCGTTCTTCCCTCCCTCCCTCGCCTCCTTTCCCATCTCGTTTTTCCTCCGCACCCTCCTCATCCAAGCTTTGCATTAAAGTCTCCCATAACGAACATGCATATATGGACTTGACGATCACTGTGCATTCGGACTCAGCATGAAGCTGTCACACTTTATTGTCATAAAGGGAACGTAGATATGTACGATTTCGAGGGTTGTACTAGAGTCAAGCCTGAGAAGAAATACACAGATTTTTGACGAGCGGAACTCCCACGAAATGATTTTTGTAGACCACTGCCTGCTGGCGATAAATCCCTCTCCGCCAGTTTTCCTCTGTCCGTCACTTGTGCCAACTATAATTGTTTTGCGTCTATCCAGGTTGCGATGTATTCGGCTTTTCGTCGTGTTCCAAACACATCGAGGACGTTATGATGTTCTGTCAATTCCCCGGAGAAGGCTATCCGCGAGTTCATCCCTCAACAGCTACTGATAGTTGTAGGTGCATATCGAGAACTTCAGGCCGCTCTGTGGCGGTATCAGTTTAACACCTGGAATTTTTAGCACCCGATCGCCTCTGGCTCTCGATCAACCGCAGTAGAACGCACCGAAGAGCAAAGTACTAGGGCCCATTTTT